TCTAGGTCTGTTTTCCCGTGACTGCGAAATCAGAATAACATCATGAAATAATTCTCTCTCGAACCTTCGTAAATGAATCAGCTTTGCAGTGCCTTACCTGAGATAAAAAGTGGGCAGAATAGGAAAACATTCTAGCGCAATTTGGATCCTTTGCAGCACGTAGTGTATTTGCTAAGCGGCGATGGTATTAATGACTTTTTTTGAAAGTCAGGTGAGTAGCTAATTAAAATTAGTTACTCACCTCCGATTGCGTGACCAGGCAATTATAGATTGTCTCCAGCGAAAAATAAGTGCATGTGAAACCAAAGCTTTCGGGATACAGTAAATTCATTTTCCTGTATGACCAGGTGTCCTTTTGTCCTATTTTAAAAGCGGTTAACTAAGATGATTAGCAAACATACTGTCCCACTTTTAAAAATGGTACAGTAACTGAATGTTCTGTTCTTCTGATTTTACCCCTAACCCCGGAGTGTTCAGAAGATATATTTGCACTACGCATGAAAGGCAAATGGATTAAATTTTAAGGTTCAAGGCGGTTTTAAAGCATGGGTTACCAGTGGATTAGTCAGACTTGTCATAAGGTGCATTGAACAGAAAATTACAGGCATGATATCTCTGCTATTGTATGTCCATGAAGTGATTTTCCATCAAACATTATTTTTTTACTTTTTTACCCCAAAATTTTTTTTCGTTCAATTCTTATCTATGAGATGTAAACTTAGTTAAATTTCTGTAATTTGTTGTTAAATGCAAATCTGCAAATAACTAAGTATTTAATTTTGCGTAAAAGCTACATGAAATTGTACTGTTTAGCCGTAAATCATTAAAAAGAGAAAGCATCATGCTTTCTCTTTTCAAGATCTAGCAGGACTTAAGCAATGGCATTGCTTAAGTCCTAGTAGTTCTTCTCCATGTCTGCTAAGGGGGAAATAGTTTGCTCTTTTCAAGAAATTGTTCTTGCCCATTGCGGTTTCAAACCAAGGATAGCAGCAAGTCTGTCGTGGTCATATACTGCTACTTCAGTGCAAACGAAGCATAGGCGCACAAGTCAGCGCTTGCGTTTAGTCAGGTGCCGAAAATGAAGTGGAAACTTAACCCTAAGGGCGTCCATGTTCGCTCCGGCTCGAAAAGGTAGAATCAGTTGTGCAGTAAAAAGTAATGCGAAAAACCTGCGGGGGCTGGGGAAAGAAAGGCGTCTTATTTTTCTTTGGCTTGTTCTATTTTCGCGACGTGCTACAGGTTACGAAATACTGACAAGCTCAATATATGTCTTCACCACCGAGAGTCACTTGCCCTTAGCCAGACACGCCCCTCACGTATCATGTTTCGTTCATAAAGTTATTTCAAAGCACAGAACCAAACCTAATCAGCGGCCGAAGGCAGAAAAGGGGATGAGCAAACGGATGTCACAGCATATTTTGCAAGAAACCGGTATCCTTGTGCCTATCGGCTCAGGAACGATTGATTACTACTAGAATAAATACCAGGGTCAGAATTTGAGTGCTACAATGGGAGGGAAGGAAGAAAAGAAAACCGCCGCGCGCACCTGTAAAGTCGTTTATAAACTTTCTCGTCCTGACGGTCTCAAAGAAGGGCGTTGTGGCTGCTATTTAATTTACAGTGTCTGTTGCAGGAGTCGAATTAATCCTACAGCAACTGGAAACGTGGCCACCCCTGCTGAAACTGAGATTGCTTGTAGGATATTCGGCTATAGTTTGGTATATTCACGAGCGCGTTTTGTCCAGTGAACTGAGCGCGTAGTTTTTCTTAACGAAGGGATGGGGTGGGTCAAGTGAATATTTCGGGGAACGTTTGCTCTCTTTAGTGAGTGGGGGGGGTATATTTGTTGATATCAGGAGTTCTGGCCTGGATAGAGTCGTTGTAAAGCTATTTTTGCTTCGGGGTATCGGTTTCCCGGAAGCTGAGCAAGGAAAATTCAGTGGTGCATTTATGGAATATTAATAGAGATTCTCATGGTCTAACAGTGCGAAGATTAGACTTCTGGTAAGGTGGCAACGATCAAGGCCCGCATTATAATTCATGATAATTGAAGGTCATGATGTGGAAAAAGCGACTGAAATGGTGGATGCCATGCAATCCTCTCGGGTGGGGGCGGGGCACCTGGCCTTAACGGTTGCCCCTTCGACAGAAGGCAAGCATGCCCAGATTGTCCACGGGTTGCTAAATGAGACCGTCCCTTTCTTAGTACCCGTTCCCTGTCTTTTTATTAGACCCGGGCAAATTTCTCGAGATTGCACCATCATTTTGGGCTTTTAAGCTTCCAAAGTCCAACAATAATAGCGCATGTTCGCGACGGTTTTTTAAGTCAGTCAAGTTCTGAAACCAGGCCTTAAACGGCCAGTTTTAAGTATCGATAACAGTTAAAAAGGCATACAAGCCCCATGCGAAAGACAGTGGGAAGGAAGTACACATCGGTGATGGGGAAAAAGGACTAGCCCACAGTTATTTAGGGGTGGATCTTTCGAAACATTCTTATACTCTTGGACAGATATGCATTGTTTAAAGTTTTAGACAAACCAGGTGTAAATTTATAGTAACAAACTGATAAATATACATCAGCAAGATTTTTGCGAATCCTATTTTTCGCTGGAGACTATCGTTTACTGGCTGGTCACGCAATCAAAGGTAACGTACTTTCCCACGTTTGTTTACTGACCTTTCGCTCGGCAATACACTGCGTTCGACAAAGGATCCAAATTACGCTGGAAATGTTTTGCTATTCGGCCCACTTTTTATCTCAGGTAAGGCATTGCAAAGCTGATTCACTTACGAAGATTCGAGGGAGAATTATTTCTTGATGTTATTCTGATTTCGCAGTCACGGGAAAACAGACCTAGACTCAGGTCCACTCGCAGACGCCATGCTGCAATCTTCAAGATCTCAAGAACAGAAATTACCCATTGAACGGCCTCTCCTTTGAGGATTGCGTGTATTTCATTAAAACAGGTACATATTAAAAGAATCTTGTTAGTTTCTCCCTTTTAACGAGCTCAAATCGATGCATAAAACTAAGGTGACGTGCACGTGTCAATTGACCCTGGGGTCAATTAGCAGTTGTTTGGGGCAAAATAACTTCAAAATAATCAATCTATTTTACAAGCGTTCGCAAGAACACCAGACTAACTTTCAGATAATGTTGAAGTACTATATCTCATTAGTTAGTAAGCGGGATTTGGGGTGATTTGGAGAATTCCCCCATATAGAAAATTCGATTTTGGTTTTAGCGGTAAATTGTTGTATTTATAAGCATTATGCAAATTACGTTTCAAAATTCTGCTGGTTCGTCGATATTTTATACTCTAAATCTAAAAAAGAAGCCATTCAGAAATTGTTAGATATCTGCTTTTTGAGATTTAAGTGGAAGATTGGCAATATATTCGCTCATTTATGAAAGTCAGCTCATTTCTGTCGCTAGGCTATATTGCCTTGTTCGGTGGCTAATTTTAGGCCCGCAGATCGTTGAAATCGAAAATCTCAAATAATTCCCAAACTCGGCCGCATTTTGAAATTTAAACCTCAGCATTGTTATAAACTCATTAAAACCTTATTACGGACTGAAAATGAGAGTAAGTTAGGTTTTGAGCTGTGGCCACGATTTGCCGATTTTGCTCGATTTTCCTGTGCATTCGCTCTTAAGACTGAAGCCGTAACTAAGAATATCGATTTACACTTAAACCCTCCCTCGGTACCAGAGGATTTTTTTCTCGCGACGGTGGGATGTTTCGGTGTCGGCAGCAGGCCAACGGCCGAAGGCCGAAGCTACGAATAGGGCAACTTAGTAAACCCGGTCTTGTGGTCAACTTTCGATTCAGGTCACAAGTGATCAAAGGATAGTAGTTTTAGTTTTCTTTTGAGTCAAACTAAAGTAGCCTACGAAAACAGCCTTTTCTCATCGCTCCTGGCTGCTAGGGACCCACTGCGGTCAAATATTTCTGCTCCTGTGACTAAACTCATTGTGGTACTGCTGAATGGATTCTTTCGCAGGTCAGGTCTTAACCTACGAGAATATCAAGGAAGTTATCAAGTTCTGTGCGAGAGAAAAATTGGTTTTATTTGCCGATGAGGTGTACCAAGAGACAGTGTTTACTAACGAGGTCCAGTTTCACTCGTGCAGGAAAGTTGTGAGGGACCTGGGACCTGAATACGACAAATTCCAATTGATGTCAATAAATTCTGCCTCGAAAGGGTTTTATGGCGAGTAAGTCATAATATCACATGCATTATATAATGATAAACGAAGGTGGAGCACCTGTCACGACAAAAGAGAAGACACTTCTAATGCATTGCGTTATTATCACAAGGCAAATTTGTCTTGACTTTTCTGAAACCAACATCGGTGAAAGAAGATGCTCAATCATAATGCGAATTTGGAGTGAAATGTCGTAATTTACTTTATAACCCTGGTATCAGCATACATTTTCTCCTCTCTGATCTCCATGCATTTCCTACGATACCGCGGTTAACAATCAAGACCTTTTTCACTTCTTGATCATTTTTTTTTCTCACGACATTGTGGGTTGATTGACTGAGCAAGGTTACTGAGTTAGGAGAAATTGAATGTTGATCACTCTTAGGGGTTAAAGGTTTGTTAGACTGGTTTTCAGTAATTTAGTAAAAAGAAAAAAAGGCATTTATTTGAAAAAGGAGCTTTAGTTAGTAACACTCTACCCAAATGTAATACTAATTGATTTGTATCGATTCAATTAATAATTAATTGATCGATAGTTTATGATCATAAGAACGTCTAGTGCGCGGACACCTTTTGATTATTTGTTATTCTTATTATTTACTATTGATGTTCGTCTCTTTCAGGTGCGGTTTAAGGGGTGCTTACTTAGAGATTGTAGGGTTTAGCAAAGAGGTTTTAGCCCAGTTTAGGAGCTATCTATCTTCACCGCACATCGCACCGTCAACTATTGGGCAGGTATTTTATATATAAAGTCGGTATAAAACATAAAACGGGCTTGGATCACTTCGAGGAGCTAAAATGAAGTTGAGCTAATTGCTTTGCTTTTAAAGGAATTTTTAACTCCTTTCAATGAATAGCTTTTTAGTTGTGTCACTAAAGATTCTTAAAAAGACGGTTTTATGGAGATAGCACATGCTAAGCTTTTAATTGTACTATCCTCTGGTTAATGCGAATCACAGTGATACGTCTGAGTAGTGACATAGGAAAAGCGAAAGTGTTTTACTGAAGGTTTGATTGTCAGTCGTTTGAGGGAGTCTAGTTTACATCCACTTTCGTACCCAGAGTCCTCGAGCTCTTTGGCCAGCGGGTGGACGCCAGGAAACCGCTGGCCAAAGAGCCCGCGTACTCTGGGTCGAACATTCTGTTGGCAGCTAGTGCGAGAGGAAAGGAAGACGCACAAAGGATTCCTATAATCGAGTCTAACTTCCAAGTGCCCTTATTAAGCCTCTTTATCGAATATATTTATTATATATCTAGACGGATCTTTGAAAACGTTACCGCCGTTTCCCGTTCGACTGTTTTTTTTGGCCAAAAAAAATTATAAAAACTAAGAGTGCAACCATTGCTTTTTCCTCTTCTCCTCGCTCTCTCTTTTTCTCCTTTCCTTTTCTTTCGTTACTGAGATCTTGGAGCTTCTTGGGCTTAAGAAACCTGCCTTTTGACGCCTTTTCACACAAATGACTGCAAATTTTGTTAGGTTGGTTCTTAAAAAATCGGTTCACATCAGTATGACATGATTATAGTTTCAGTGCAGTACTTTAAATCAGAGGCTGATTAGGGTGATTAAGAAACTGGGCCTATTGTTTTGTAACGTGTTGTGCCAGCTGACTTTGTTTTGTGATTTTATCATCCGAAGGCTGCTGTTGGTGCAATTTGCAATCCTCCTCAGCCTGGTGACGAGTCATACGAGACTTTTATCAAGGTACGTATATAAGCAAAGGATCCCAGCGTGCTCTCTACCTATTTCGGTGGTAATTGTTTCCGGTCTGTGTAACTAAAACATGAATTTTACATGGACTATTTAAACTAGGGGGCCAAAGACCAGCTAGATCAGGAACAACTAAATCAAAGACAGGCGCGTACTGCTTTATACACTTCCTATATGTTGTAACTGCTACGAAACCAATTGTGGAACCAATTGTGGAATTGCAAAAAGTTTTAGGCATCCTTCTGATGAACAGTTACGACTTTTAGATATTTCAAGCAACAACAATTTTCCATCTGTCCTCTTTGAGTTATTATCGTATTTAGCTGCGTGTAGCCTGTTCCAGCCTTTCAGTTAGTCGGAAAGACAGAGGAAAAAAGATTGGAGAAAAAAGTGCCCCGCTTTCCCCTCCCTCTTTCTCTTTTTTTCCACCAACTGAGAGCCAAGAAACTTTAGCAACTTTTCCAGTTCCTTTCAATTCGTCTGACTTTACTGGCGAAAGTTAAGGCATAATGTATACTTCACGTCAAGGAAAGAACAGGAAAAATTGTATTTTATCCTATTTTGACCTTGAAATGAAAACTCGCGAACAAAACAGAAACAACAAACGAACTGAAATAGAGCGAATTGATTGGTTTATCGAACGGATACAAACGCGTTCGGCTTTTGGTTGGTTGGTTAAAGGACAGCATAGCGAGGCTCAAGGTATTGTAAATGAGGTAGTAAATTGGTCAATCAGAAACAGAGTCAAGTTAAACACAGACAAATGCAAGGAGCTCCGCATTAGTTTTACATCAGATTGTTACTTTGCTCCAGTAGTCATAGGAGAGGAGTGCATCAAATTAGTTAAGGATGCTAAACTTTTAGGTGTTACTATCTCTGGTGATTTAACATGGAATGCGCAAATCTCGGAAGTTACTAAGAAGGCAGCTAAGAGGCTCTATTTTCTTGTTCAGCTAAAAAGAGCTCGTGTTCCACAGAAAGATTTATGCCTTTTTTACATTACATGCGTGCCTCCGTCATTGACTATGCTGCGCCAGTTTTCCATCACGCGCTACCAGCCTGCCTTTCTCAAGAATTAGAACGCGTCCAGAAAAGAGCAACGCGAATCATATGCCCTGGTATAGAATATCAGTAAGCTTTAGCGTTTATGAGTTTACCAACGGTTGCGGAGCATCACCACAGCATTTGCACGCGCACGTTTGAATGCATAATGAGCGACTCGAACCACAAGTTAAGAAGGTTGTTGCCGCCTCTTTATAAGAGCAACTATAATCTAAGGCACGCGCGCACTTTCGCTTTGCCGCGTTGCAAGACACATAGATTTAAGAACAGTTTTTTTATGGCCTCAGGCAGAATTGTAAATAATTTTTAAGCTTCTTATTAAACGTTTTTAGTCTTAGCTATTACAATTATTAGTATAAATTATTACCATGGGGGATTATGTAAATACGCAATTCAGCTTATGCTGCAATGTATTTAATAAAGTACCTACCTACCTACCTACCCACCTACCTAAGCGAACGCTCGGGTGAAAAAACTTCATACCCAAGAACTTTCTAGAAATCAATCGATATATAGATCACTTTGACGTCATGCTGCAACACGATTGGCCAATTGAACAATGCCTTCTCCTTATTAGGGTTTTCTTTGGCGGGAAAACGAACAGTCAAGGTCATACGAAAATCGCTCTAATGAAATTCTGTGTTTGCGAAAAAATTGAGAAGTCGTCAACAAATAATCGAATGAACTTTCCAGAGTCCACCCGTTACTAGGAGATGGACTTGTGAGTTAGGGAATGTTATTTGACAGAGTCTAAGAAGTGGGACAGCAAAATCTGTGGAGAACAACAGCATCCCTGAATGTTTTTAACTCAAGGCGCTCTGAGTGTCGAGAGTTATAATTGGACTGTGAGTCAGTACAATGATCCTGTTAATCATTACTCTAACAATTTTTGCTTTCCGCATGTAGGAGAAGATGTCCATTTTAGATTCTTACCAAAGGAAAGCAAGGATAACTACAACAATGTTGAATTCTCTTGAAGGAGTCTCGTGTAATGCTGTAACTGGTTCACTGTATGCATTTCCAAAAATTGTTCTACCACAAAAAGCCATTGAAGAAGCTATGGTAAGGCATCAAAAGGGTCTGGTCAGCGTATTATACTATGGTATCTTTCCACCCTTTACCCAAAAGCCCACAACGAAAATCTGGTTGCATTCGGAGTCGTGTGTGGCCGAGCGGTTAACACCTCAACTTCGGATCTGGAGACCCGGGGTTCAAGCCCCGCTCATCGCGTTGTTTCCTTAGAAAAGAAACTTTACTCCACTTTGTTCACCCAAGGGTATAAACGGGTACCGGCGACATCACTGCTGAAGGGTAACCCTGCGATGGACCTGCATCCCATCTAGGGGGGAGTAGCAATACTCCTCGGCATGCTTCACGCTAAGGGCCGGGATAAGTTCCGGCCATTCGGGCCTTTGGCTCGTGTGCGTCTTTACGTTTTCTACCACAACGAAAATCTGCTTTTTTTCCAGCTTAAGAAATGCACACCAGACGAGTTCTACTGTTGGCGGATGCTAGAAGAAACTGGCATAAGTCCTGTTCCAGGGAGTTCTTTCGGACAAAAAGAAGGAACGTATCATTTTAGGTCAGAGCTAACTGTTTCCATTTATGGTCCTTGTTTCTTTGTTATATTTAACAATTATTCCTCTCGCCCTCTGATGGGCTCTAGCTGAGTCAATAGCCCATGAGGCGGTATGGCGAATGGGCTTTTGCCTCAGCTAGAGCCCAAGAGGGCGAAAGGAATAATTGTTTTAGTAAAATGCAACCCGTTGGTGAAAAAATATTGAGGCAAAACAACTTTAGTTAGCAAAACGCGATTCAGTCGCCATTGGTAGTGGGCTATAACATATAGCCTAGTAGTAGCTCAACCAATCAGAACGCAGAATTGATTTATAGACCACCAGTTGGATTTTACTAAATATATATATCTTTCTTGTGGGTTGATGGGAGAAACTCATCACTGACGATGTGTGTCAGAGAAATGCTAAGCAGGTTTCTTGAGATACACCCTCTTTTAAAAAAACAACAAAAGTACTGAGACTTAACCATGCTAAAACGGGCAACAAAAACGAGCAACTTGTTCTGAAACATTGCTGCTAAATGTGCATGTATTTAAAAGCAATGTGCGAGATGTGCGGTATGCACCCTGGCAGAGTTTGTGCTTTTTTCCCAGTGGCGGATCCAGAGGAGAGGCCCGGGGTGCCCGTGTCCCCCTTATTTTTCGACCAAAATGAGGCCCGAAGGGCCGAAAAAAAGTTTTTTGGAGACCGGGCCCCCCACTTATCTCAGGGTCTGGATGACCCGCTCCCGCCCCCCCTCTTTATCTGAAGGTCTGGATCAGTCACTGTTTCCTATGATAGAGAAGGCTTTCCTACAAAAACGGCGCACCTGCTCGGAAGGTTGTAGAGATACCCTTCCTTATGGAGAAACCTTGTGCCAGGTAGAAGGGTCACTCGCCTATATGCCCGAGCTACCCGGGGCAAGCAAACGTTCCCTACATTTCCTTACAAAACTTGGCGATCGAGCCGTTTACACCAGAAACAAAAAGTTGGCTCGGCAGGGTCACCTCCTAGCCGGGGTAACTTTACTCCATATACAGTGGAACCTCGATATTACGAACCTCTGTATAACGAAGTCTTGGTTATATATAGCGATTAATTTAACCCAGTAATAGTAAAATATATGGAAAAGAACCTTGATATAACGAAGCCTCATTATAGCGAACAAATTTCGCCAGTCCCTTGGCCCTTTTTAAAATCGAGTTTCCACTGTACAGGTATTTCGAGGAGAAAGGTTGTCAAAAAAAGTGCACGCGACAATCCCGACAGGCATTGTGTGTGGTTTTGACCCTCCGTCCCTCTGTTCTTTTCTCCATTAGTATTTTATAAAAAGTCCATTTTTTTTCCTGGTTGGTTATGCCATTTTAAAGGAACTTTCATACCTGTTTGGCGCCAAGTTCACCTGTCGAAAATTCTACCGGTGACGTCATGACAATTGACCAATAGAACAGTCACAGCATATGTCAATCATTTTTTTTTCCACGTGAATTCAAATGATTCAAATCCTTTCAGGCGACAAGTCGACCTTAAGACTTCGTCGCTCGCTCGGTCGCTGTGCGACCTCATGCATTGAACCTTGCTTCGTTCATTTTCAAGAACTTATGAGAAGTTGACTTGTAGCAAGTCTACTTCTCCATATAAACGGGGTATTATTAAAATTAAGTAAATGCGACAAAAACCGGAATAAAACAGGGTCGTTTTAGTTTGAGAATTTTTATTTTTTTTTTTGCCGCAGGTTAACCATCTTGCCATCTGAGGAAAAGGTAGTTCCCATGTTCGACAGAATTAGCAAGTTTCATAAGGAATTTATGGACAAATACAGAAATAACAATGATAATAGGAACTAACGTGAACCTAGGTTTAAAGAAACAACTGCAATTACTAGGCAAAACTGTTATAATGTCAGTTCGTTCAGACTTTGCGATCATTAAAAAGAAATGGAAGTGGTCATAAACACTTGAAAAGATTTCTCAGTCTTTTTACGTTAGGGTTACAAAGTAGCACTCTACACCTTCCCCCACAGTCCTTATTTTCTTCTGTTATACTGATAGTAAGAAGTTCAAGTTTCATCTAACCTGCATAACAGGCGATATCTTTTCGCGTTTTTTTTAAGGCCAGCGAAGGCAAGAAGCGTGGAGCGCGAGACATGCTGCTTGCCTTTGAAGGACGGGAGGAAGAGCCCCTGGGTTCTGACTCCAAACGGTCAAGCGAATGCTGGCTTCTGCACTGATTGGGCACAAAAAGAAAAGAACTCAAGAGATGATGTTCGCTGATTGGTCACAATAATACAAAGCATTTTTTGTGCCCAATCAGGAGCCAGCATTCGCTTGACCGTTTAAAAAAGGTCCGGTGAGAGTCGGTACCCAGGAGCTCTTTAACCCGTGCTTGAAAACTTTCGTCGCGCCATTTCTCCCGACCCGACTGACCGCCCCTGGGTTTTCGAGGATAGTAAATAACAAGCTTCTTTAAAAATTTCAGTCGAAAATTCCTCCATATTCTGCACTGACTGACTATCGCCTCGCAGGGGTGAATTGTTAAGAGCTTAAATCTGTTGACCAATGAAACTCTGCAAAATGAGAAATCAATCGAAAGCATAGCGAAATCTGATCATCACATCATCACAGATTTCTTTGATTTGCTCAGCTTCTTTGTCAGTAAGCTCACGTTCCCAGGCCGTCGCAGCTTTGGTTCCAAGCACCTCTCTTGAGGCGCCTAAAGAGAACTGTGACGTTTTTACTGCGGTGAGAATACGATGTTCAGCTCTGGGTGAAAGAGGAACACCTATAAATTGAAACAGTCTCTGAGCAGTTTTCCGAGGCTTGTTAATCAGATCTTCGAAGTGTACATAGTGAATGGATTCCTGAGGAAGGTGAAAATTTGCCCTGTACGTGGCTTGCATTTGCGTCTTCCAAAGATGAGCCAAAAGCGAAATAATGTCTCCATTAGTTTCGTTTCCGTATTCAAGCGTAGCGTCTCTAAGTTCTTTAAATTCCGGTGCAAAGGAAGACAAGTATTTATTGTGGCACTTCAGTTTTCTGATCACATCAATGGCTTTATGAACTTCAACACCAAGTGTGCTATCCGCGCGCATTTCACGAAACCAGAAGTTCACCCAACCCCTAGGGTCTCTCACTACAACAATAGCGCGCATTCTTTGTCCTACGACTTTTCTTAACCACCCAAGTTTCAAGCTCCATCCAGGGTTTCCAAGTCGAACCGAGGGTAATAGCTTACGGGATATTTTACGTAAGTTTGGCAGGAACCCTTTCGGATCTTTAGACAAAGCTCTAAGCCACTTTCTCAGATAAGCTGTATCATTAGATGGCAGGAAGAGAGAATATGTCCCACAAGGATTTAGAAATTTGTGCGTGGATTCGCGGAGGCCTGCGTAAAAGAAGTCTGAAGTATTCTTAAACAGGTAATGCAGAATTTCGCTTCCGGCCATGGGAAGAGAAGTGTAAAAAACAAGTGGAGGGGTTTCTTCGGGTTCGAAATTTTCGTTGTCTTTCGTAAATTTCATTCGTATTGGCCCAGTCAAAGACAAATCAATGTTGATCACGAAGGTAAGAATTATCCAAATCGCCAAAAGACCCAAAAAGACTGTTTTACGGATATTCCGTCCAATCAGTTTGCGTCGAAGCTGATAATAGAAAAGGCAAAAGGTGCTTGAAACGCCGAATATAAGACAAAGTGTTGGAAAAATACTCCATATTGGCCATTTCACTCCACTGGGCGATTCAGTCAGATCGACCACTTCAGATTTGGAAATAACATCCAGACCAAAGCGTATTGTCTTGCTATTGTTGATTCGTACTTTGCAAAATCCCCCAAAGCCCAGGAACTTGTATCTCGAATAGGGCTGGTTATGTTGTGTTGCTATAGAAACGAGATATTTCACCCTATTGACGGTCAATAGTAGCTTCAACCCAAGTTCATGGGAATGTAGTACTTCAGCAGGTTCTATGCTGTTCCCAGGTCCCAGGAAAAGATACGCGGTTCTAGTAATATGCGCTTCTAGTGGCGTGGTTACATTAAGATAGTTTGTCTTCATGGATTTATAGTCTGTAACGTACGTTCTTGCTTCGACTAAGCTTTTCGTGCCGAGATTAAAATTAAACCAATGAACTTGATGCAAAAGTCCATCTATTGAGATGCTGGCAAACGAATTTGTGTTGAGTTTAAAGGGGTGGTCCACATTGTGAAAGAAGGCACTCATAATCGATGCTTCTCCTCCTCGCTTTCGTTCAATGTGATCAACAACTAATAGAACGCTTGGAGTCAGCATCACCAGGCTACGATAGATGCTCAAAAGGCCTAACTCTGCTCGATACCACTGGCTCATTTCACCGCTAGTAAAAACCATGTCGCCTTCGTGAGAAGCAGAAACAATTTCCCCTTCTGCTCTCCAAGCAGACCTTGTTTTGAAATTAAACCAACCATGGCACTCTCCTATTTGTCCCTCGAAGGGGCTAAAACATGCTGAGTTTAAAGAGGGTCCAAATACTAAGGCATTATTGAGCCACGTGTATTTAGGAGCGTATAGTGTATCAGTAATAAAGGGTACTCCATTTGGGGCGAACACGAAGGATCCTTGGTCGGGATGCTCATGGCCTGGGTTAAAATTCGTCAACCTTCTAATCCAGGAATGCAAGCGTCTTCCTCTGACGATAGAATTAACAGCTCTTCCATGAAGAACGCTGCATTTAAAGGAAAGAAATGTTCCTTGCCATATCAGTGGGTTGTCCGAGCGGTTTCTACGGGACGTGGCTACTCCACCGCCGTAAGTAACAACTCCCCAGTCAGCGAACACGTGAAGGCGTGGCAACGACGGATTTGGTTGAGCTCTCGGCACAATGCTGGCATTGTAAAACAGAAATTCTGTGTGCAGCATGCAGTTAACATGTGACTTTGCTTGAGCAAAGGGTGGTTTCGTGTCTCGATGTACTGTGATTTGTCGAGCTAACCAGTTTCCCAATCCATTCTTAAGCACATAACTATCGAGAAACACTAACTGACTCTCTGGGCCGTAGAACCAGTTGCGATTTGAATCACCAATACCCACGGTCTGTTTAAACCCAGGAAGGACAGTATAGTGTATAAACCAAAGGTGCTCTCTGAACCAAGGGTTATGCGTGAAATCGCGCCGGAAGTGGCGTAACGCAAAGAACACATACTGTGTCAAAGAACGTGACGTGTAAGTTCCATAAGCTACACCTTCATCTATCGAGCCATCCACTACATTGTTTAATAACTCTAAATTCCTACTCAGCATTAGATGAGCGCGTGACATCCATGTTTCACCGTCCACTTTCTGATGCCTGGAGACAACTAGAGCGCCCGTTAAAATAGCCATATAGTTCGTAGCAACGTGATTTTGAAGGTAACAATTTCCCCACCACAACTTGCGATCGTAGGATCTTTCATACAGTTCTTTTGTAACAGATGCGATCTTCTTCAAAAAGCGAGTTCTTTGCGTATCGTTTAAAGCGCTGTATAAAAAGTCGTAGGCAGTCGCCATGCCGGTCAGCGAGTGTGCCACCGGCACATCGTCATGCAACGAAGCGTTCACTCGCCAATTTGGCAGATTCTCGAGGCGATCCATAAAGAGAATCGCTAGTTCTCTTTAGCTTTGAATCCTCGGGTTTTAAAACGCAATAAAACGCCAGCACGGTCAAATCGTTTCCGTAACGTTCGTTCCAAGAGCTGGAAAACGTGGACCACTCTCTTGGCGGTAGATATTTCTCTGGATTCTGTGCCATTTCGTGAGTAACCGCTCGAATCCTGCTCGCTATTTCAGCGTGTGTTGTTCTTGCACGATGTTGAAGATCTGTAATCTCATTCTCGTTAAAATACAAGAAGGGATGAGGTAGATTCGCTTTTGATCTGATATCTGCAGCAAGACTGCCAGAAAAGGCAAAATATATTAGTAAAAATGTTCCGGAAAACATCACCGTGTGATTGCTGCTGAAAGCCCTAGCCAAAGACCTTAACATCATAGGTATCCGGTAACAAGCATCTTTCTTAATAGTAAACTTCCGGTGGAAAAAAATTCCTCGATTTTATTGGCCAGTGAGCTGCCCGCTTAGCTGGCGCGAAAATCAACCTTGCGTGACCTTCCGTCACACCAGTGACAATAGATTTTGATGGTTTGGTCAAGGTACAGAGCTGTTTGACTGAGCAAAATCAGAGTTTGATTTTTCGAAAATGCAGTTTGTTTTTGAAAATCAAGGTTGGCTTTCGAAAATTGGAGTTTGTTTTGAAAATCAGGTCTTGTTTTCGAAAATCGGAACTTGTTTTTTGAAAATCGGAAATTATTCAAAAAAAGCAGCGTTTGCGTTTGGATTTAGGAGTTTCCTTTACTTCTCCAGGCTGTACGCTGTCTTTTGAACTGGGTGGTCGCAGGAGCCCATAACTGGTGGTCGAGAGTACATGAGAGAGGCACACTAATTTCCAGATTTTTTCAAAAGCAAAATGCTTGGATATTTTAACAAGGAGGAGGTTTTCCGATTTTTGAAAGAACAAACTCCGACTTAGCACAAACAAAGCATGAGAAAACAGCTGACATATTACGACGCCACCAAAAAACTGCTGCGAGGAAGACCACTGCTTTCCCCGCGAAATGAATCCTACCGAATGAATGTTTGCGGCCGTTCCTCGGATGTGATCATTTCGTGGGGAAGACATTGGTGGCGTCTTGAAAGCCCTCAGGCTTGCCAAAACACCGATGTCCATTTTTAACCTTTGCTGAAGACACACAACAAAACAAAAAATAGAATTTAGCCTCCGTGGCAAGCGTTTCGAGATTCCGCGCGAGTGGAACAAAACAAGGGAAGAAGGGGGAAGGGGAGGGGAGAAGAAACTGTCCATTGAGCCAAAGGCCTGGGACGAGGTAGCAAAGCAGCTGTCCAAAATGGCGGCGCACAAAAGTGCATTTCAGCGTTTATTGTGTCTTTCAATGCCTTCACTAGGTAAATGTAATTTCTTTTACTTTCATATGTTGTATTTAGTTTGATTATTCCGTATTTTTCACGTTTTTCGTTGCCAGTTGTTCTGATTTGTGGATGTAGCGCTTTTGTACAAGAGCTTGATGACAGGTGAGACTGGCCATAGAATATTTCACTAATAGCTCTGTTATTAAGTTTTAGAAAACAGTTATCACAAGCTTAAAATTATGCGTATTTTTTACCGAAAATATGATTTTCTACAGGTTTATTAAACCTGGGTTTTAATTTCGTATCTAGGTAGAGTCTCCTAAAGACGAACAAGAGATACGATAGGCTTAATTAAATAAAAAATACTACTTATTATTGTTATTTCTCCTTATTGCTTTGTCTGTGACAGTTTTGCAGATCTTAAGAAAGAGGGCAGCTGGCTTGTCGAGGTAGGATTTAATTTCTGCAGCATGAAAGTTGGTATAGCATGTTTTGTCAATGACTGAATGGCCGTTGTAAATAATCCCTTTCTTTGCACTAAAGTGAACTTGCAGAGGGACAAGGGCACCAAGATACTATCGTATTGAGAAAAAAGGAATAAAGACCCTTTCTTAAAAAAATTAGGCCCCAATAACTGTAGATTCAAACAAATTCTGCATCCACCAGGCCAAATACTGAGGGTGTTATGAAAGTGAACATGATCTTTGCAGTAAAATGAACATCCTAAGAGGTTAAAAAAAAAACCTGAAAAAATTCAGGCTTGACCAGGAATCACACCCTGACCTTTGCTATGAGGCATTCTGCGTTTGTGTTATAACAGATGGTGGAAGTGACATAAATTGATTTGTTTCATTTATTTCAATTCACTGAGGGTGTTAATTGGGAAAATTATAAAATTAAGGTAATAAATAAATATATGAAAATTTGAATATATGAAAATCACATGTATGATTTTCATATATTCAAAACTTCATCATCATCCTTTCATGGGTTTATAACGAACCAATTCAATGACCTGCTCCCAGTTGGCTTGTTACCTTAATTGGTAGAACGCTGCATCGGCATCGCAGAGGTCAAGGGTTCGAATCCCGTACAAGCCTGAATATTTTTCAGGCTTTCTTTTCGCAACTGCAAACGTTGCTTATATAACTGTGATGATCATCCTTCCTTTAATATCCAAACAATAAGAAAAAAATGCACTTTATTTGAGTGTCAATGTATCTAGCACAAAAATACTAATTGGTGAGCCAGGACTGCCTTTTTACGTGGTCATCCAAGCCACGTGAAGGTCAAGCTGCTTGCAGTGCAAAAGGAGTACCTTCATTTCTCTGTTATTTTAAGACCCTGAGTATTGGTCTGGCCCCGGGAACCCAACCTGCGACCTCCCACTCAGCATTTATTAAAGCGCTCTACCAATTTAGCAAATCCTGCCTGGGTAAACCAACTGAGCTAATCCTGCCACGGTGAACAATGTGATAAAACCTGCCACTGTTTGGATACAAATTAGAAAGGGAGTGCAACAGTTTTTGAAGTTGATCTTCCCCTCCTCTCTAAATGATGTTTTCTGTTTTGCCAGATTAAAAAAAAATCATTCTCATAGAAGGTGGGCCAGTCCTCCAACTCCACAGTCCTTAATGTACATGTATTAGGAGAATTATTTTTATAAGAGTCATTAAGGCTATGTAAATATATTTTATTTTCTCCTTATCATGTCCCAGCAATATTATCTTTGTGCTTTTACATCTTTTTTTTTTTTGGCTGGATAGAGTTTGTGTAGCAAGAGACCCTTTTGTTGTTTTGATTAAATTGTAGTTTTATGCACCATGGTGTGGGTATTGCAAGAAACTTGAACCAATTTGGATGGAAGTAGGCAGGACTCTTCATGGTTCTGCTATTAAAGTGGCCAAGTTAGATGCTACCAGATTCTCAAGTATGACATATTTTAATGTAGTTATTAAGTGTTAATAAATAATGAATTTCAATTTATTTATTATTTGCTTCCATAATAGATCATTACAAAAATGCATGTGATAGCAAGCCGAGCTGTTTTCTGGTCACTGTTCAGCTATAAAGAGCTAAAACGTACCACAAAGCCATTTTCAGGTCATGCACTTTGCTGCTTTCTGATCGGCGATGAAAAAATATTAGCTTGCAAAGTTTGGGGATGTGAGGAAAGCAAAATTTTGAGATACTTGTTGGGTTTGAAAGTGACACAGGAGTCTTGACTTTTTCGTTTTGCTTTATCTTCTGCCCTCTTCTTCTACTTTTCTTGCCTCATTTTTTTTTTTTACTGGGCATTTAGTTGTCTTCATTTCAGTGGGAAAGGTTTTTTGGGAAAGCTTTTATGATTAGATGAAGGAAAGGTACATGTAGGTGGGTATTGGAACAAGATTGTTCATGATTTTTGGGTCAATGTTACAATCATGAATTTTTGATTTTTTCTCTGGTCTCCTTGACTGAACCATGCTCTTTCTGGTATGGTTTGAAAGATGTCTTCATCCTGCACAGGTTAGTTGACAATGTTGTCCTTAACTATTCAAACTGATGACATCACAATTGGTAGAAGGAACGTTTGTCCACGTGGGTGTTACAAGCAGTTTAAGGGTGAATGGATTAAGTAATTGTTTAGATGTAAACTTTTCATAGGTTAATCATATCCATAACCCATTCGCCCCTGAGCCGCCCATGCAGATCCACGTCCTTTCTACCGCTTGTGACATCATCATGATAATCCCAAGATTCTAAAAGCTTTCCTAAAAACTTTTCCTACCAAAATGAAGCCTACTAAATGCTCAGCTGAGAAAAAAAAACGAGGCAAGAAAAGCAAAAAAAGTCCAGACTACTGTTACTTCTAAACCCTAAAACTCGAAATTTTGCTTTCTGCGCATGCCCGAACTTCGCAAGCTAATATTCTGCATCTGGATTAGAAGGCCGCGAAGTGTACGACCTGTAAATGGCTTTGTGATAAGTTTTATCTCTTTATTATTATAGCACGACAGTGACCAGAAAACTGCTTCACTTGCTTCAAAACACATTTTTGGCAAAATCTCCAGGCGGGGCGAATGGGTTAGTAAGTAATTTTGATAACTCTTTCAGGTATAGCAAGAGACTTCGGTATTAGAGGTTATCCTTCAATTAAATTGTGAGTATAGCCTAAGTAGCAGTCATCAAAAGGCCACTGATGACTTTCTCGTATGTGCCATAAATTTGTGTTCCCTATGGCAACCTGTTCTTTTAACTTTTGTTGACTTTCAATGCTTCTTTCAGATGTATATTCTAGTTTGACCTGACCTTTTTCATTTTGACCTGCAATTTTATATGTTACTCACATGAATACTGCAGTGTTAGAGGAAAGCGTATAATCACCTTTGAAGGAGAACGCACAGTTCAAGATATTGTTCAGTTTGCTGAGCGAGCCAACAGGTATCTCAATCATTTTTTTCCAGTCCATAAACCCACCATCTATGTAAATTGTAAATGACGGAAGATCCTGTTAACTTGAACTCAGTTAACTCAAATTCTTGACTAACTCAAGTTAATTAAATTTACCTTTCTTTTTGGCTTTATTTTCTATTTTTATTTCTATTTTACCCTGAAAACTTACCCCCCCCCCCCATTTCAAGCTTTTAGTAGTTTCTCTCGGGTTGTGCAACTTTTGCTATCACCATATGTTTGTTTTACGTGGTCATACACTGCGTATTCCAACGACCACCATCACATATCGTATAATCAATCACTTGAAGTTTATTGATACTAAAATTTGTAGCAACTGAAGCAATTATATTATTTGATCTGAAACAGAGCAATACAATATTCGTCGTTACGCAACTTACTTTAATATAATCTCTAGAACAATGAATTCACTGAAAAATACCTCAATAAGAAACTCTAATGTCACAATCATGCTTTACTCACTTCTGTGGCGGATCGTAGCTTAAAAACGGGTTAGCGGTAAACTGGTTAGCTTGAATCTCTTGTACTGGTGAGCACTACCGGTTAGCAAAATACTTCTGATTGAAACCCAACAATGTGTAAAACAGCATAAAATCTAGTAATCTCAAAATGTCAATCAATGTCCTTAATCTTTAACTAAATCAATGTTTGTAATCACGAGTTTATTTCCGGTTCTGTTAACGAAACACCATAAATAACCTGTTCAATGTTAATTTTTTTAAAAGTATGGTGGAACCCCGCAAATACAGTCACCAATGGGCCAAAAAAATTTGGCTGGATAGGTGACCATATTAACGAGGGTATTCTTACAAGAAAATGTATGGCCAATTTATATGGTTGTAAGGCGGCATTTTACTGTATATGTTACAGGTCAAATTTGATTTCAGGTTAAAAGTTTTTAACCTAGATTTATTCTCTAATGTTTCCTTTGCATTTGTTACAGGTCAAAATTAAATTCAGGTTAAAATTTTTAACCTAGGTTGATTCTTTGTTGATTCATGGTTTAAGGCTGGGAGACAAAGGAAGTTGAAAATCAACCTAGGTTAAAAAAGTTTAACTTGAATTTAATTTTGACCTGTTTCATATTCTATGGTTCGGAGACATTGGAAATTGACAGTCAAACTACAATCAGTGCCAAAATTAGTTGGGACACTTCCCTTGAAAGGTCCTCTCCAACGTTTTGCTAACTCAAAAAACGTAAAATAAAGCTGTCCCTCCCCTATCCCTTCCGCGCAATGTTGTGCCGCTGTTTGAGCTACCTGTAGAAAACAACAAAACACCTTGATCTACTTCGAACAAATGGTAGGGTCGAGGGCTGTGGATTGGTTTTCTTCTCTGATGCTACCCAATTTGAGGACAATGTCCCAACAATTTTGTAGCTGATTGTTGGTTAAATCAAAATTGAGTCAGATTTTGACCTGTAACGTACATATAAGTAATGTATTGTGGTCTCTTTGTATCAGGCCTGCAGTAACAGAGCTTCATAACACGGAGCAAGTAGAAAGAGTAAGAAAAGAGAAAAATGTTTGCTTTTTCCTGGTAACAAGCAATGAGAATTCTCAATTGTCAGAGAAAATTAAGGTAATATTTGAATCTATTGTTGGTTGAGTTTGTTGGAAGACAATAATGATCATTAGATTTGACTACGAGTACAATATTGAGTACTGGTATATGTATGACTCTGGAATTTGGGGCAAATGGTATTCCTTAACTCTTTAAGCCCCAATATCCACATACAAATTCTCCAAACTGGTCTCTATACATTTCCTTTAAGAATTAGTTGAGAGAATTTGATAAAAGATCAAGGTATTTTCTCTTTGATGATCATTTTATAAACTCTCATAACCTTTTCTCTTGCCAATGTATGGATATCTTTAGGAGAAAATTGATGTTGATCACTATTGGGACTGAAAGGGTTAAACTACATATATGTATACCTCTTTCCTGTTGTTCACTTAATAATGAAAGATTGGCGTGATAAGTAAAATTCTATTTGAGGCACAGGCATTTGGCTTGAAAACTCTTACTTGAAATTGTTCACCATCTCGTACTTGTAATCCAATCTAAAAGTCCCCATTATGATATTGAATGAGGCAGAAGTGTTTGAAGACCGCTTATCATCCATTTCTGTCAATCTCTAGTCACAGGCATAATCATTTTATTCACCTTTATAACAGCTATAGATATCAGGTAGATTGACCAGATGAAATGACTATAACCGGGCTAAAAAATCATAGCATGCTGTAGATTTCGTGGAAAAAAAAACAAAAAAAAAAAAAAAACGTTTTTTTGACGTTTCTTAAACTGAATAAATTCTTTCTTCATGAAAGCTGTCTTTCCCAGCTGCCCATTTATGAGTTCCCCATCACAGTATAATATCAAACTTTTATGATTTTCTTGAGGTGCATGCTCTAGTTTTTATTACTAGAGAACTTGTAAGTATAAATCTAATTAATTTACAATTATGATTTTCTCCTTTTATTAGAATATTTATTCTGAAGTTGCAGAAAGTAGAGTCATTCAAAGTTATTTTTATCATATTGACCTTCAAGTATTGCCTAAGGTAAGAACAAGGTTTCTCTGCAAGCTATGGTTTATTTTTTGAGTGAGAAAGGTGACCTTCCACTCTGTTTGCATGTATGTGCATGTCATTTTGCTTCATTGTTTTGCATCTCTAGTGTTCACATTTAGTAGAAATTATATTGTTGAAAAAAAGAAAGAAAGGCATTTTATTTGAGTTTGCATGTTTTGTTTTCACAAAAGTTGTTTATTGAGGACAATACTTTTATGTCTTCAACTGGAGATGGGACTGACATTTTGAGCCATGTGAAGGTCTAGCCGTTTGCAGAGCAAAAGCAGTACAATACCTTCATTTCTCAGTTATCAGACGCTGAGTATTGGTCTGAGCCTTGGGAATGAACCCATGCCCTTTATTTTACAACCCTGAATGCATCTGACCCCAAAAATTTGTTGGGGATCAAAGTATTCCTTGGTGATCTTTTTATAATGATTCTCAAAACCTATTCTTGTGATTATGTATTAATATTGTTAGGAGACAAGTGAGGTTGCTCACTCTAGGGACTTCGAGGGTTAACTAGAAAAAAAATTCTCTTCTATAGGATGTTCAAGTAGAAGCACCAACCATTTTAGTTTCAAAGGATGATTCCTTTTTCTCATTCCAAGGTGAGTTTTATTTACAATATTGATTGTTTACTTCAAATGCATGGTTTGCGTGCAGTAGTATTACTTTATTTCACAAATGTCGGAATATTATTTCATTAGTTTTTACATGTTTTGCTAATGTTTGTTAATGAAATGTACAACTACTGTCTTCTACTCTGTACAAAAAATAATAGTCATTACATAATTCTCATTGGAACTTATGGAGTTGAAATTTTTTATTGATCTGGTGACGATCTTTCTCCGAAAAAAGGAAAAAGTTATCTTTTACCAGAAGTGAAGCCACAATAATTTATTTTATTTATTGTTAATTTCTTGGAAGTGTCTGAGGATGTTAGTGAACAGAATGTATCTGATTGGGTGAATAATGAGAGATTTGAAGGATTTGTGCATGTAACG